TAACCAAACTGAAAACTCAACAAAAAAACAACATTTCTGCACTCGCCGCGAAAGAACATGTTCCACCACCACCCTCTCCATTTAGAAAGATTACCCGATGTTCTGAACACATAATTGTCTACAACCTCCACTTTTTCATGTATAATTTCTGGGAAAAAAAAAAAAAAAAAAACCTTTCATTCAGGCCGATTGCTATTAGAGGCTAATATGTTCCACTACATCTTCAAAGGGGTCAAATCTGTCCACGACTTTGGAAAAAGATGCACATATAGATAAACACTTGTTTTTTTTTACTTGCTGCACACACTCAGATGTTCCGTCCTTTCTCTTCCATATCTGCTGTAATGTACAAGAGAAATGAATGCACTCAAGCAAAAACATTTCTTTTTTTCTTCCACCTGCATGGAAACGCAGATGCACACTTTACATCTGTGTGTGTCCCCCCCCCCCACCGCCGCTGCATTTCCTTGGCAACGGTGGGGACCGGAGAACAAGCATGGAAGTGTGTGGTAGCAGCAGATGATGGATGGGAGGGGAGATCACCTATTTGTAGAGCAAAGGCAGCGATTTGCCGTCCTGACATCTACCGTCGGCAACCGAGCAGGTCAAAGCGCGGTGATTGACGCAGCTCTGCGTGGCAACGCGAGCCCTGTCTGAGCATGTCCTCTCCCAACGCCCATTGTTTATGAGTGTTGTCACTTATGGAGAGTGTTTCGTTGTGTCTGGAAGGGGAGCTAATGGTGTGTTTTGGAGTCTCCGGAGTGGCTCACCTGATTTCATTCACTGGTTCGTCTTCTCTTCCAACCTGTGCAACCATATTTTAAACAGTTTTTTTCTTTCTTGGGTTGTTTCTTTCACCTTTTTTTTTGTTTTCTCAGTACACGAATACACCGATTGATGCTCTCATCTTATCTAAGACTCATTAGTCCACGTCATTTATTCATAATTTATCCAAACTGCGCCTACATTCCTTAATTTGCCCAATTGTTGCACGCAAAGTGGCCCAGTTCAGTCACCATCTGTCTCTGTTTAGCCATCTTTAGCCTCCCTAGAATACTCAGTACATTCCCTTTTTATTCTCTTTTGCTGCACATGTAGTCGACAAACGCAACTTAACTGGAAATGAACAAGCCGCACAATACGAGCAAAATGTTGGCGTCGCTCCATGACGCAACGCCTCGCCTCTCTAAGCGCTACCTGAGAGTCGCCCGATTGACTGTTTGGCGATGAAACCGTCGTCGCTAAAGCGTCCTCCTCAAGCGGCTCATAATAGAAGCTGCGGAGGGACAGCCGAGCACCGCTGACATTCTCCACCCACATCTCCCCGGCTCTTGTGAAGGGATTCAAATTAGTGACCTTCTGGTTACAAGCCCACTGATAAAGCAAACTGCTAATTTAATTGATGCTCAAGGCTCGTATTGTAATGAGGGCCTCATTACTGCCAAGCATGAGCCATGTGTGTAAGCGCGCATGTGTGTGTGTGTGTGTGTGTGTGTGATTGTGTTTTGGTTTCTTTCTGTGTGTGTGTGTGTGTGTGTGTGTGTGTGTGTGTGTGTGTGTGTGTGTGTGCTGTAGGTGTGCACTCGTGTCTTATTTAGGAATCTCTGCCAGTCCGTGTGCAGCCTAGCAACAACTTCAGCCTTCCACCGCTGCCGGGGTGTCCAGCAGGATCTGCGTCCGAGCATTTAGCCTCTTTGACCCAGAATGCATCCTCGTCTTCCCGCAGAGTTTCCCCCCCGCTCACGTCCGCCGGACCGATGGCCGTGCTGAGCTGAAACCAAGCTGAAGCTCTCAGAGTCAATGAGACAGTACAGGGGGAGACCCAGGGTAATATTCCCAATTCCGTTGCCGGAGCGCAGAAGGAATGCCTCTGTCTTTTTGATCGAATACCTGTCTATCTACTGTAATTGCCTGACTGTTGGAGTGTCTTTCAGAATCTCTCGCTGCCTCTCTATCTCTCTAACTACTGTCCTGCTGATTGTAGTTGCCCTTACTTATCTATCAAGCCGGCTTGTTTTTCCTCCGGCCTCTGGAAGCCAATATGAAGAGGTTGGAGATATTGAGTTAATACGTTTTCTCGTATGTATCGATGGTAATGGTTCGGCACGTGGATCGTCTCCGGCATCCAGAGGAATCAACTCTATAGGGGGGCATTCAATAATCTAATCCTCCAACATCGGAGCAAATCAACCATTTATTATGGCGTCTCTGTTGTCCCACATATTTCTTCATTAAACAGTCCACACATCACGTATTAATTCACTCTCACAAACTCATTAATATGACTTCTTTTTTTTTTTCTTTCTGATCATTGGTTTGCTATTTGCCTCCCAGTCTTAATCAAACTCATCCCCACACTGCAATAAAGAAAAGAAAAAAAAACCCTCTACAACAAGCACTTACCATCAAAATAATTGCCTGCATATATTTGTTCTGCCTCCCTGAATTTCATATTGTTTTCCTCCAACGGTCATGCAGCCTGATGCCGAAGATTGCCGCACCTTGTGAAGCCTCGTTCAGAGATCTTTGGAGTTGCTCTCGGGACAAAGCGGGAGGGGGTCGTTTAAAGAAAAAAAAAAGAACGAGCTACGTGAACAAACTAATTAAGACATTTTCTCCAGCCGCTAAACAATCAACAGCAGGATTTAACCCCTGATCTCCCCCTGACCACCAACTGCACCCCCCACCCAGCAAAAAAAAACACGCAAGCCAAGCATTTACTTCTAATGAAAGCAAAGCCTGTGTAAGTTTTCCACGCCGTCGCAGGTATTATGTAATTTGTGAAGTGTTTATATCTGGATGTAACTCTCCTGGGCAAAGTGCCAGCAAGGAGCCAATTAAAGTTTAAAGCAGCATTATGAACTTGTCACATGGCGCAGCAAATAAATGTTGTGTATGCGCAGTACTGTGTGTGAGAGAAGGTTTAGAAGACCAAGGAAGGTTTTGTATAGTTCAGGTCAATTGTTGGTTTATACGGTGTGTGTGTGCAGTGGAAATATGCAAACAGGAATCCTAAGTTGTTCCTTATTAAACTCAACTGTACTGTTTACAAATTGCATCCAGTAAAACCTGCGATTGTTGCTGTGTCGCCTTGAGTGGTTCATGATGGACGGACGGCACTTCCTGCATCATTCTAGGGTTAAATATTTCAAATATTGAAAAATGACTTGCAGTGAAATTAGTTGCATT